GTGCATCATGCCTCGAGCCACTGACTTGACGTTCACCAACAACTGCATGGCAGTGTGTCTGGTGGCAAGACTGATCCGAAGCAACATCCGGGCAAAGATAAATACGAACCGACTCGATTCGACCAAGGTTTTATCGTGCACCATTACGCTGCCAAAGTGGAGTATCGGACGGAAGGCTGGCTGAGAAAAATAAGGACCCTCTCAACGACAATCTAACGCGAGTGCTCGCTGGCTCCTCGGACCGATATGTGGCCTCCCTTTTTGCGGAGTATGCCGAAAACCAGAGCTCTGGTAGTGGCTTCATTGCCCCCAAAAAGCGTGTCAAGAAAGGCGCGTTCCGAACTGTTGCCCAGCGCCACAAGGAGCAATTGTCGGGCCTGATGGGCCAGTTGCAAGCTACGCAACCCCATTTCGTGCGGTGCATTGTTCCCAACAGCAACAAGAAGCCTGGACGTCTCGATGTCCCTCTAGTTTTGGACCAACTTCGATGCAATGGTGTGCTGGAGGGAATCCGGATAGCTCGACGAGGATATCCCAATCGACTACCATTTGTCGAGTTCCGTCAGCGCTACGAAGTACTCACGCCAGGAATCATTCCTCGAGGCTACATGGATGGCCGCGAAGCTTGCCGCAGAATGGTCAAATCCCTGGAGCTAGACGAGGCCATCTTCAAGATCGGCACGTCGAAAATCTTCTTCAAGGCGGGTGTCTTGGCTGAACTGGAGGAGCGCAGAGACGCGTTGTTATTCGAGATCTTCTCACGCTTGCAGTCTGCTGCCAGGATGTGGACAGCTCGAAGACAGATGAGGAAGATCCTGAACCGTGCTGGAGCGATCCGAGCGATCCAGCGCAATGCTCGTGTCTACGGTGAGCTCAGAGAATGGCCATGGTGGCAACTGTACACCAAGGTTCGACCGCTTTTGGCTGCGACGAGGAACGACGAGGAGATTCGTAAGAAAGATGCTGAACTTATGGCTCTTGCTGAACGCGCCGAACGTGAAAAGCAAGAGCGAGAGGTTCTAGAGACTCTCAAAGCTTCTCTTGAAGCTGAGAAGCGGAAGGTCGAAGAAGAACTGGAGGCTGAACGGGGTCTTGCAATCGACAAGGACGCTCTACTGGACCGCAGCAAGAAACGCGAAAGCGACCTCGAGCAGGAAGTCGTGACTCTTCAAGCGGACCTTGAGCAGGTCGAATCTCAGCTAGATCGTGCGATGGCTTTACAAAAAGAGACAGACGACAAGCACGAGCAGTTGCGGATCAGCTTTGACAAAGCTGCAGAACATCTCGTCCGATTGGAGGCTGAGCAGAAGGAGTCAACTGCATTGGAAGCCGACTTGAATGGACAGCTACTTGATTCTCAGCAGGAAGCGGAAACCTTGCGTGGCAACATCGACGAACTGCACAAGATCGGAGAAGAGCTCAAGAATCTGGTTCTTCAGCGAGAGGAGGATTTGACCCGTGCCAAAGAACGAGCAGATACGGCTGTGAAAGAATTGGATGCTAAAACTGGTTGCACAATCCAATGACGCGTAAGGGGTCTAAACCAACTGTATAATCACGCTCACGTCCTGTACAGGGAAACCATCCGCCGCAAGGCTGAGCAGCTGGATGAGAGCCACAGAGCTGCTGAGCAGCAAATCGCAGAGATGACCAGGACAGTCTCTGACCAGTCGGCAGCAATCAGGGAGAAGGAAGCCCAACTGCAGAAGCTGGCCAAAGATATCGAGTCTATGAACAAGTTGCACAGCGAAGCGCTCTCAGAAATACTCGCTTTACAGAACGATATCGATACTCTAGAAACTCAGCTTGAAGCGGAAAGGGCGATCGGGAGAACGAGACGGCGACGCGACTGAAACTTGAAGAGCTGCTGGTGACCCAGAAACAAATCAAGACAGAACTGGACCAAACGCTGCGCGAGCATTCCATCTTGCAAGAAACGCACAAGTCTGTCGAGAGAGAGGCGCGTGACTTACAGTCTCAGCTGGCTAGGACTCAAGCTCAACTGTCCGAGCTGGACAAGGTCAAGCGGGCTCTGGAGTCGGACTTGGTGTCAGCTGTCACGCGCCACAGCGAAGCGGAAGGGAAGGCTACCCAAGAACGCGAGGGTCGGGAGGTCAGTGCCTCTCTGAGTTAATGACAAAATGATCTCACTTGAGCCTCAGCGAGCGGAGCGCCAATTGACCGTGGCTCAGAGCAAATATCATGAGATCGAAGATGTCATGCTCCAAATGGAGCGTGACAAAGGTGCGACTGACCGACAACTGGAGTCTCTGCGCAAGCAGCTCGAGGCAGAATCGGCCAAGCGTGCCAAGCTGGAGAAAGCTGCCGCGAGTCATCATCAGGAGGTTACCCAGCTCAAAGAGAAAAACGGACAACTTGATGGGGAATTGGGCAAGGCGCTCAATCATGTCAAAGCGCTCGAGACAGAGGCCAAGCAGTTCGAGAGCAAGCACCATACGACGATCGTGGAGCACGTGCATGTTCTCGAGGAAGCCAAGCGCGTGACGGATCGGGAGCTGGCCGACGCGAAAGCGGAAGTCGAGCGAAACAAGGCATATATCAAATCACTCGAGAAAGCCAAACAACGCCTGACTGGCGAGACGGAGGATCTGATACGAGAGACAGAGCGGGAACGGATCGAGCTGCAGACGAAGGAGCGTACTGTCCGAGCTCAGGAGGAGAAGATGAGCAAGGCCCTCGCCAATGCTGATCGCGATCGCAAAGACAAGGATGCGGCCGAACTACAAGCCCGCCGGCTCCAAATTGATCTCCAAAGCATGCAGCGACAGATAGACGACCTCACGACCCAGTTGAACGAGCACCGACAGTCGCGGAGCAAGTTGGATTCAGATCTCGACCAATTGATCGACGGATCAGGCGGGCCCCAGATCTCTATGGCCCGTCGCGTCGCCCAACTCGAAGGGCAGATCGTGAACGCTGGTGTGAGCAAGGTTGGCCCGCGGTTCGACCCGGAGGGATGCAGGATTGGCGGAAGCAGAAGGATCAGATGCAGGCCAAGCTGGAGGACGTGACGCGGGCCTTCGAGGCATCCAAAGCTGCACAAACAGAGCAGCGGTCACAGATTCAGACGCTGCATTCACAAGTTCGGGAGCTGCGTGGTGTGCTGGACGATGCCGAGGCCGACCGCATGCTTCTACAGAAAGCGCGCCGGGCTCTGCAGGCGGAACTAGAGACCATCAAGCACGAACATGTTGATGCGAGTCCGGGTCTGATTCCGAATGACCGGGAGTTCCATCGCCTACAACTCAAACAACTGGACCTCGAACGAGCTTTGGAGGAGCAAGAGTATCGCGCGACCACGTGCCTTGATCGGATGCGCAAAGCCGAGAAGTTCGCCAGCGAGTGCGAGATTGAACTGGGCAAGGTTCAGGTTGAAAAATCTGAGCTTGACCGGTTGAATGTACGTGTTTTGAGTTTGGATGATGTTGATGGATACCGCTGACGGCCTGCAGGCCAATCTGGAGCTCCAGTCGAAACAGCTGAATGCGCGCATAGCCGAGTTGGAGAACAAGCCCACCACGTCGACTCGACCTGCTGCGCGGAGAGAAAGTCGGATCGAGGAGCTAGCGGCTCAGCTCCAGACTAGCGGCAAACGCTGGTGAACGTTTTGTTGTTCTTGTTTTCTTACTAACACTTGCATTGTACAACTCCTGCATCTGTTTACAACAGTGTAATTATTGCATGTAATAGATAATCAGTCCCATTCTTCCTCGTCCTCGTCGTCGTCGTCGCTGTCTTCTCCGAGCTTCTTGTTGCGGAGTATGAGCGCTTCCACGAGCGTTGCGGTAAGATCTGCGCCTCCGCTCGGTGTGCTGGGCTCGTCTTCTACCCGAGGAGCTGCTCTGGGCTGCGCATCCGGGTCCACTTTCTTTAGCGAATGCACACCTTTGCCTTGAATCGACTCCAGGAGTGCAGCCCGGCCCGGTTGAGCAGGACCCGGTCCCGATCCCGGTCCTGGAGCTGGCGGTGGAGGGGGAGGTGGCGGAGGTGGCGGTGCCCCGGCTGCACCCATCGGCGGCGGGGGTGGCGGAGGCGGTGGAGGAGGAGCGGCAGGTCCTGCCGATGCCGCAGCGGGCCGTGCCGGAGGCGGTGGTGCAACTGGTGCTGCAGTGCTGGGTCGGGCTGGCGGCGGAGGCGCTGTGGGGGCTCTGGATACCGGCCGCGCTGGGGGAGGTGGTGGTGCAGGAGTACTCGTCGATGGTCGAGACGGTGGTTGCGGCGGTTGCGGCGCCACAGACGTACGACTCCGAGGTGGCGGTGGCGGCGGCGGCGCTGATGCTGCTGCCGGTGCTGGTGCCAATGCTGGCGCTGGTGCCGGTGGGACCCGGGAGCGAGAAGGCGGAGGCGGAGGCTTAGGCTTCTTCTCTTTTTGACTGTCTGATGATCCCGTACGAAGGTCTTGATGTACTCCATCTCTTTGTCGATGATGCTGCGGTCAATGCCCGAGTTTTCGAGCTGGCCGAGCAGAGCGGTCCACGATGGATCCACTCCCGTCGCCACAAAGCCTGAGTTGTCGTCGTAACCCATGTGTGCAACATGCACAAAAGACCCTGCGCTCGGCGCCGAGATCATGCCCTTGGTAATCTTGCCTCCCTTGGAAGCAGAAGTTTTCTTCTTCTTCTCAACAGAGGTGCCCTTGGCTGGGAAGCTCAGAATGACGACACAGGAGTGCGGCGTCTCGAACCTTTGCCATCCTTTCGTCCTTTCACCTTCTTCCAGAACGATTTCGCTTCCTTCTCGTCCGCATAAACGAATCCTATCATGCACTTGTCGCCCTCGAAGGAGTGAAACCATGACCGATCCGCGTTGAATTCCAATCCGTCGTACATCTCGTGCTCCCATAGCACTCCGCGAGTTCCTGTCAGGTCCACAAGCCGGAAGGAGTGAGTCTTGGTTGCATTATCCTGTGCACAGGCCAATGCGCCTTGTAAGCCGGCATAGGCCCATTTCTGTGGGTCCGGATATGCGTAATAGATACGGGCGAGAGTGGCAAATAAGATCTTGTTAGAAGAGGCCGGGATAGCAGCTTTCACTTTATTCTTCTCATCTGTCGTAAGAGTAGATTGAGATGGCATGGCAGGTAAGGGCGATAGGACCAATGTCAGAGAGGGAGAGGAAGAAGGAGATGTCCCGCAGCAAGTTGTAACAACTGCTGCGAACAAGTGAGATGATGCGGATTACGTAGTACACTGCCACATTATTAGACTCATCCACCTCACCACGTCCATGGCGCTTACGACAGACCAAGTCTCCGCTGTTGAGCAGTTGCGCGAGTTAACGAACGCATCGGACGATGAAATAGCTATCAGCGTCCTGCAAACTGTTGACTGGGATGTTCAGCGGGCCACCGAACTTATATTCGGTACCACCTCGGACACGTCGCATCGACCTGCCCCGCGCCAAAAAATGGAGGTCTTTGAATTCGACGACTCAGAAGAATTCCGACCGGATCCCCCACGTGCTCTTGCACGAGGGGGACCGTCGACCGTGTGGTCATTCCTGACGCTGCCGCTGCATTTCCTGACTTCCATTCTCCGATTCCTTTTCGGTGCTCTACGTATACCGTTACCTCGCCCGTTTTCATTCAATCTTGCACTTTTCCGGCCTCGTGCCAACCGGCATACGCAACGAGAAGGGGCATCTGAGCGATGGATCCGAGGACTCGAGGAGGAGACCGGTGCAGTTTCCTACAGCACAGCGACAGCTGTATCGGGTGTAGAGGCTGGCCCTTCCTCTTCAACGGGAACTCTGCACAATCGGACTTCTGGAGTTGAAGGGCGGCGGGTTCTTCCCGACTTCGCATTGTGTACATATGAGGAAGCTCTGGAAAGTTGCAAACGAGACCTACGGATCGGGTGCATTGTTCTTGTCAGCGAGGAGCACGATGAAGTTCCGGAATTCAAACGGCAAGTGTTCAAGTATCAGTCCCGACTTTTTCTGACGCGTCGTTCAGTTCTACACTGACCGACCCCGCCCTGGTTCAGCTGATGCATGAGCATAATCTACTGGTCTGGGGTGGGGATGTCAGGGATACTGATCCATACGCTGCCTCGTTGCGACTGCATGCGACGACATATCCTTTTGTAGCCTTCGTAGCCTTGCAGCCTCGGCGGGGCGTCCGACCATCCAGTTCGTCGTCTGCCTCCGAGTCACTGACGGTCCTGTCTCGGCATCAAGGCCCCTCAGTTCCTGCAGCATCAGGTCCGACAGCTGCTCAAACGCTTATCGACTATCTCAACCACACGCTTTTACCTCGGGTCGAACCATTCCTAGCACGTGTTCGAACTCAACGGGACGATGAAGCTTTAGAGGCATTTAGAAAGGAAGACGAAGCCGCGAGGAACAGGCGTCTGCGCGACGAGCAAGATCGTGCATTTGCTGCCACGGCTGCCAAAGATGTTGCCCGGATCGAGGCACTGATGAAGGCGGAGCAGGAAGAAAAAGAAAGAAAACGGCGGGAGGAAGTAGAGGCGGAGGAGCGTGCTATCAAAGAGGCAATGGACCTGGAGAAACGAGAACAAAAGAAACAGGCCAGAGATATGTGGCGAGCATGGACTCGCTATGCGCTCGAAGAGTCGGACCGGCAGAACAATGCAGACGTGCATGGAGATCGCGGGCAATCCACGATACGGCTCGCTATCCGACTCCCTGACGGGTCACGCGTCGTGCGCAGTTTCGACCACCAACGTTCTCTGACATATCTCTATGCCTTCATTGACAGCAAGCTTGGGACGGATGTTGCCTACGTTTCTTCAAAGTCCCCGCAAGGTCATGAATGGAGCGAGCTCGAGCGTGCGGTCGAAAGTCAAATCGAGTTGGCAGGCTCATACTTTCCATTCATTCTGACCTTGGCATACCCTCGGATCGATATTCCTTGGAGCAAACAGCAGACGATCCACGACGTAGATTGTCTTCGAAGTGGTGGTCAGGTTGTAGTGCGCTTCCTTGATGACAACGTGTCCTATGCAAGTCAAGCCGCTGATGATGACGGTTACGAATCTGAAGAGTAGCGGCAGGCATTAGGGAATACATTCATCTCTGGAAATCGTATGCAGTGTGTGATACAGGGGAAAGGTGGCGCTCGGTACGAAACACGCAATCATTGGCTCAGAATCGTCCGGACAAAGGACTCGTAGTTCACGTTTCCATCCCTGGAAAAATTAAGCTGAGTTATCTGAGGAAGACGTTGCTCGAAACGCACGCTCCAATCTGTACTCCTTTGAGCAGCTCGTCGACCTCTGCGTCCGTCATCTTCTCTCCAAGCTGTGTGAGGACATATCGGAGCTCTCCTGCACCGATGAACCCGTTCCCCTCCTTATCGAAGACTTGGAATCCACGGATGAACTCCTCTGCTGTGCATGAGCCGCAGTATTTAGTCAAGCAAAGATATACGCACCAGGAGTCCCAGCGGGCTTGAATCCATCGGGCCGATTCAAAATCGCCAGGAATGTTTTGTAGTCAACATCACGCGGGGCGGAAGCGACAATCTCCGCCACTTCTGCTTGTGTGGGGTTTTGACCGAGAGCACGAAGGAGATCTCCCAGAGTTTCGCGCGGGACGGCACCGGTTCCCCGTTTGTCAAATAGCGCAAATGCTTCTTTGTATTCTGTTGTTATCGTTGGAATCCAGAAAGATCGACGGGGTTTGCGTAGTGAGAAAGGTGGAAGGTGTCAAGTCAGTCGGTTGCAGCGAGCGCATCGGGATTCGTAAATACCTGAATTGTCACTCTACGACTCACACATGAGCCTCGTCGTTGAAAACATGACAGTGTTGACATACCATGCTGTTGCAAACGAAAGTGTACGGTCAAGAACAAGAACTGATTGCGTGACCGTTGTATCGTGTCGTGGCTTGTTTCGCTCATGCTGATCGCGTTCAGGTGTGTTGCAAATCCATCAAGGTCCCGGGCCAGCAATGTTCATGAACCAATCTCGTATCTCCACCACACAGAAGAGCGACCTCCGTCGATAATATAGACGGCCTGACTCCTAACCCTAAACCTCAGCTCCAGCGTCTCGTCCATGCTCTCATTGCACATATTCGTCGGGATATATACGCATTTGAAGAGGTTCGTTGGCGCAGAATCGCCGAAACTCTTCCAAGGTATTCATCGTGTGCTCTCAGCACTGAGGATCCCTTGATCTGCAATGCTTGATTGCTCAGCAAAAACCAGTCGCAAGATCTTATCAGATAGCATCGATAATACATGTAGATCACATTCGATTCAATTTGAAATCTGAGAACTTGAATAGATTTGACACATAAGAATAAAGCGCAATGAATTTTGGCGCATATAGAAGCGGTATCAGCCAGGGCCGACCCGATAATCATTATATTCCCCATGCTACTTGCCGAGGTCTACTCATGTGGCAATGCGCATCAGGTGACGTCAGCTGACAGCGAGCCATCGTCTCCAACCCTGCAGCCAACCTCCGTGGTGTTGTAACGGTACGCACTGAAACTTCGATCTCTGTAATTTCTGGAAAATACCCCAGGTCCCGATGCAGATCTTTGTGAAGACCCTCACTGGCAAGACGATCACTCTCGAGGTCGAGTCGTCAGACACCATCGACAATGTCAAGGCGAAGATCCAGGACAAGGAAGGGTGGGCTGTTTCTGTCTTTCTTCGAGACGCGCCTAACCTAACTCCCAACTATCATCTTCCAGTATTCCGCCCGACCAGCAACGCCTCATTTTCGCTGGCAAGCAGCTCGAAGACGGTCGCACCTTGAGTGATTACAACATTCAAAAAGAGAGCACGCTCCACCTCGTCCTCCGCCTGCGTGGCGGTATAATCGAACCCTCCCTGAAAGTTTTGGCCGGAAAATACAATTGTGACAAGCAAATTTGCCGCAAGTGTTACGCTCGGCTCCCTCCGCGTGCAACCAATTGCAGGAAACGCGGATGCGGCCACAGCAGCCAGCTCCGTCCGTGAGTGATTCCTCATTACTTGATCCATGGGTCAAACTCAAGTTTCTGGACAGTAAAAAGAAGCTCAAGTAGTGGTTAGAATATGTTCCCAATGCATGTTTACCAACGCTCAATTCATACTTGCAAATCACGAGTCTCGCGTGGCGGCTATCATACGGCCGAGTGGGTCAACAACTTAAAATTCTAAAAGTCAGAATCCGACACAATTTGATGTACAACAAACAGCTACTCCTCAGGCAAGGACAACGCATTCACAATTGCTTCCAGACGTCCATTACCTCCGAGTCGCGCGATTTCAGCCCGCATTTGTCCCTCCAAAGTGGCGAGAACACCACGAGTATACTCAAACGAACGGGTGCGTTGGTCCAGATACGAAATTGTATGAATCTTGAGAGTAGGCGTCCTGGGTCGTTTCTGGAGAGTATCTGAAGGATGTCATCGTCCACATCGTTCTACACGTGTCCACAACTTACTCAGTATCTGCCGATTAGATTTGTCGGCGTGGATGCCGTGAACAATCGGGAATGAAAACTTTCCCTCGGTCAGATCCTCTGCGAAGCCTTTATTGGATATATACTGAAGAAAAGTCAACCGGCAAGAAGATTCTTGCATGGATGCTCACTTCTCCACTTCGCAGATTCATGTAATCATCTCTGATTTGGAACCAGACACCGATGAGGTTGACCAGTGGGACATAGTCACTGTGAGAGTGCTCAGCTCCTACTCGTGAACGTCAACAAGACTAGCTTGCGTCTCAAGATTGGTCGTTCCGCAGGCCATCAGGAGTTTGATGCCGATGCGAAGCAGCCCACCGGTTTCTGAACGCAGCCCCGGACGTCAGATGGCAGGCACATATAGGGAAAGCAACTGCTCACTGTCGTTCACCATGCTAATGTACTGATCTTCCGTGGGGCACGTCAGCGAATCTCTCCAAAGGAGCTCTAGACCTTGTCCACGATGAAGCGAGATCAACTCCGCTAGTGTACTAGTTGGCGATGAGGATTGTGCAGTCAATCAACGCACAAGTAATGATGGATATGAGCTCTGTCTGAGAGGGCTTCAGGTCTCCTGGCTCCGCGAGATCAAACATATTCTGGTAAGCCAAGAAGTACACGTAGTTTGCGGTGTTGATAGTTTGTGGAACGCCATAGATCTTGTGTGTCACTAGGATCGCCGTTCACTGCATGGACGAAGGCTTGAGGAACGGGGGACGTATACCAGGTATTCCACGCCGTAGTTGTGAGTCATCTTCAATATCGTCAACCCTGTACTGCATTTAACGAACCTCCTGGGCCTCTGATTGGAATACGCAGAACGAACATCAAGCTTGCATTGTGCAGCATACTTATGACCTTGGAGATCTGATCCAACTGGCTTTCAGGGACATTGATCCAGGCGTTGAATGCTGTCAGGAGGCGCGTTCTGATGTCCTTGCCAGGATTCGAGGTTATATAAGTGTAGGGTTCCAATACAGCCTGCAAGTCTGCTGGATAACGGAGATCGCTTGCCCAGCTGTGAAGGTACCGATTCATCTTCGCCGGACCACGCAGACTCTTTCGACAGTCGCTCCAGAATGTTATCGTATGTAGAAGTAGGTAGAGTGGGCTTCGGCGCTTGCATTGTTTCGGCGTGGGTTGAGAGAGTGAGGTCGCGCTGACGTAATACGCATACGATCATATAAGTATGTACGCATCCAGAAGTGATTGATAAGTTTTAGATACGACGGTAAAGTACAGGCGAAGTGAGTATATAGACGGTGTTGGTAAAGGGGAATGCAGCAAGGAAAGCGACAACATGGGGATAATGCAGACTGGAATATGCCAATTAAGGAGCGATGCGTGGGAGCGATATAATGAATCATAATGAATGATAGCAGGCGAAGTTTTATTTGCGTCCAGTCTTGTCACTCCGCAAGAGCAACTCCCTTGTGACCGGGATCTATCTTGTTTTACGAGCAGATTCCAGTGTAGCCGTTGTCTTATGGCAAGAAGTGTTACAGATTGCTCCACGACGAGACCACAAATCAGACTGCCAGTCTACCTGGACCGTTTAGACATTGACTTGACCGCGGACAGGAACCAGGGCACGCACAACTAGATCTGTTCCTCCTTCCGCCTTCACATTCATCTAAGCATTCTCTGGAAAAAACCTGACGTCCATCCAGCGACTGAACTCGTCACTATACGTCGACGTAAATCAGAATAGGTTCTCCAACACCCTCGATTTCGGGAATGACACATTTGAGATCGAAGGCTTTCGCAAGGACGATCTTGAAGATCTTTTGCACATTGATTGACGCCGATGTTGAGCAGAATATTAGCGAAGCATGCATTGCCCGTGCGAATCGTTTTGCCTGAGTTGATGTGAATCAGAGAACAAGCGTCGCACCGCACTTGCGCACCTGTTTCGTGATCTCCTCCTGCTCATCTCGTGGAAATGTGGCGAACTGGTCGAACTTGGTTCCAATCAAGAATGGGATAGCAGTCTGAGGGAATATTGATTTAGTGACAGGAAAGGTACCAGTGTACTGAATGGGTGCACCTTATTGAAACCTCGCGCCTGCCTGTACCATTCTTTCACCGAATTGAGTGTCGACTTTCGTGACAAATCGAACATGAATAGTATCGCAACGGCATCATTGCACACAAGTGGGAGCATGTTGACAAACTCGCGTTGACCCCCTAGATCCCAGATGGAGAACGTGATAGTGGTTCGACGGACGGAGATAGTCTTCTCCATGAAGTTGACGCCTGAATGATGTCAAGAAAAGATCGATTTGAGTTTGAACGGCGTACCCAGCGTCTGGATATAGTCCTCGTCAAAACTGCCCTCGACATACTTGACCATCAAGCTTGTCTTGCCAATCTGCGAATCCCCTACCATGCCAACCTTGATAACAACGCTGGCGAAGGAAAAAGCATGAGAAAAAATGACATATTACAGCACGGACGAGATCGACAGACCTGTTCTTCTCATCGTTGCTCTCGAGTTGAGCTTTCAGGCTTGCTGTTGGGCTGAGGGATGTTGATGCGTTGGCGGATGACGAGGAGGAAGCCATGACGTTCGCGAGATGGGTGGTGGTTGGGGTAGGTGAACTATATCGCAGACTTTGCGCGTGAGGAACCGTGGAGAGAAATCACGCGCAGAGAGATGGAATAAGGGGATAAGGAGAAGAGAAGAAAGATTAAAAGAGAGGAGCGCGCCGAGATGGGCTGGTATGATCACAAGAGCGCGAGGACGATGACCTGGTCCACGACTGACGCTCGCGAAAGGTTCACCGTCGCCGTTGTCCGTGTTCAAAGGCAACAATTCCGTAACAATAGCCGAGCAAGACAACGACAAACATGCTGCATCATCCTCCGCCTCCAATTCGTGTTTCATGGTGCAAGTTCTGGGAGGAAACAAGCAACCTTGGCGAGGGCTTGCAGTGCAAAAAGCACGGGCAGAGTCCGGATGAGATTATGATAGTATCTGAATGTTTCTAGCGAAAAGATTCGGCGGTTAATTACTTCGTGCAGCTGGCAGCAGCTATGCTCAGCTGCTCAACTCGTGTTCAATCCAATGATTTGCCTCTGATTACGTCCCGCTTGCAGCGAATTTCCTTAGCAACGCGTTACGATAGGCAACGATTCGGTTCAACCTGCAGTTCCGGACTACTCTCCTTCATATCTCGGCCAAGGTTTCTGATTGTCACCATTGCGGCTCCAGATCTTTCATTCTCGGTGCGGCATCTTCGATCGTGCTGGCTGTATCTAGCATCTACTGGGTCCGGCAACCTTCGTGGTGCATTTACTCCGGGGCGGATATAGATCGGTGCTTCCTCGCCCAGGTTCATGCCCGCTATGTTCTTGGATGCCACACACCGCCTGTCTGTATTGAATCTCCTGGTCTCATTTCTCCGTGGCCACATGCCCGATCCTTGGGTCTAAAATCTTACCCGTGCCCTCGAGACGACCCTGCCGGAAGTTCCTCGCGCTCCGCTCACGGTTTATAACCTGAAGCCTAAGATGCAGGCAGTTGAGAACATCCGCCCTCAAACATGCGGTGGACTCTTTGCGCCGTCTTGCTGGCTTCGCTCGGTCGAGGTGCTGCTGGATTGTTTTACGCACAAAGAGACTCTGCTTACGTCTGCAGCTTTCTCTCAGGCTGCTACTCAATTCACAGATTCCGAAAGCGGAATCTCATTCTGGGGTTCGTCCATCGAGTTCTCCTTGTCATCCGATGAACCTGAGCCTTTCCTTCTCAGGGATCACTGATCTTGCCCACGGGGTGACCTAGTGAGTGGTTGGGAGCGAGCCGAATGAGGGTGACTTCTCACAGCTTGCAGCGGATATGTCTTCCCTCCCCTCGCCACATCAGGACCCAATCCCACCGAGTACATCGGGACGATTGTTGCTCCGGTGGCCAATCGATGGGCTGGATTTGCCCTCTCCGGCACCATGATCGACTCTCTTCTCGTTGCCGCTTGGCCAAACAATGGGAACATCGTGTTTACGACTCGCTATGCCACGTGAGCGATCCACCTCCAAACATCGCTCTCTAACGTCTCTCCCAGAGCAAATGTACTTCCGAGGTCTGCAGTTCAAAAACTAGACAATGGCATGAGGGGACTGATCGGTGGATAGCGTCTACCCGGGACCCGTCATCACCACCCTGCCGAGCTCGCACGTCAACTCCACGCACTGGAAGTGGGTGTTCCGATGCCAGAACTGCACCAGTACACAAGCTTTTGAGTCGGTGGCGTCCAATCTGACCGGTCACAGCTTGGCAAGGGGGGAGCCTGGATGTCAGTTCCTCGGGCTCGGTGCCTGCTTGGTAAAGTCATGTTCGGCGGTCTATGGCTTGTTGCTCAAGGTGCTTCTTGCAGGTGTGTTTCGACAATTGCTGTCGACAATCCGTCCGACCCCGGCTCCTCGATGGTACAACACACGGATTGTAAGAGCTGCCATTTACCTTGCGCGATCAGACACTGGAGTTCCTTTTAGTTGGCTTTTACTTCATGAACTGGGCTCAGGCTCATGTCAGCGCCTCCACTTACAATAATTGGGCTGCCGGTGGAACGGGCGGAGGCGGTGGGTCGACGACAACAGCAACGACAGTGACAACATCCAGTGCTCCTACGGGCACGGTAAGTGTTCTTCGCATTTGTGCATGACTGGCAGTCTGAAAGTTCCTAGGCAACTCCGTAAGGGATCTGTATCGCACCATGCCAACGTCCTTCTCACATTGTCAGATACGACTACATCATCGTCGGCTCAGGCCCTGGCGGTATCATCGCAGCGGACCGCATATCGCAAGCAGGCAAGTCTGTCCTGCTAATCGAACGCGGGGGGCCAAGCACTGGTCAGACCGGAGGGACATATCAACCAGCGCAAGTGAATCCGTCATTCGAATTCTCCTGCAACTGACTGGCCATTAGATGGGCGGCCGGAACCAACGCAAGTCGATCGTTGTCGAGTATCGTTTCCGAATCAGACCTGACATCCGGTACAGCTGACCAAGTTTGACGTGCCGGGCTTGTTCGAGAGCATGTTTACGGACCCCAAAGAATTCTGGTGGTGTAAAGATATCACGGTCTTTGCCGGCTGTCTCGTCGGTGGAGGGACATCGGTCAATGGCGCGTACGTCCTTTGAGCTCACCTCGTCTCGCGGTTTGTCACGTCCTTTTCAGATTATACTGGCTTCCGTCGGATCCAGATTTCTCTACTGCAGCTGGATGGCCCCAACAGTGGACGAATCATCAGAGCTACACCGCTGCACTCAAGGCTCGGCTTCCTCCGACGGACCATCCCTCGACGGATGGCAAACGATACCTCGAGCAAGTATACACGGTCGTTTCGCAACTGCTCAAATTCCAGGGCTATCGGAATCTGACCATCAACGACACACCCAACGACAGAGAGCACGTATATGGTGTGTGTTCACCACAGTGACTCGTAATTAATCTAAAATACATCACAGGCTACAGTGCTTACGATGTATGCAACGTTCTGCTTTCTGTACATCGCTGAATCTCGGTCCAAGTTCCTCAACGGCAAGCGAGGTGGCCCGGTTGCCACATATCTACAAACGGCTCTGGCGCGCAAGAACTTCAAGCTCATGATGAATACCGAGGTTCTCAATGTCATCCGGAATGGATCGCAGATCACGGGTGTCAAAACCAGCGATACCACGGTTCCTGGTGGAATCTACCCTCTCAATCCCAACGGACGTGTCATCTTATCCGCCGGCACGTTTGGTAGTTCCCGACTCTTGTTCAAGAGTGGAATCGGTCCAACGGTATGCGCTCTGTGGGCGCTCGACAGCAAACGCTCAACTCTTCTTGCGGATAGGACATGATCAACCTCGTCAAAGCGCATCCCACCGCAGGGCCCAACTTACCACCCCAGTCGCAGTGGATCAATCTCCCCGTCGGATATAACGTCTCTGACAATCCGTCAATCAACGTGGGCCTGATGTGATATCTTCGGCTCAGGTCCAGTGCTGACTGCAGTCATTGTTAGCTCGTCTTCACTCATCCATCAGTGTAAGTCTCGCTGCATCCGTAAACACCTCGTGACCAGGCTTCAGCGACGCCTACGGTAACTGGGCCCATGTTTTCACTGATCCACCTGCTGCGGACACCGCACCTTACATCAAGAACCAGTCCGGTATCATGGCACAGGCCTCTCCGAGGTCAGATATTCCGCGTCTTGTCTGAGCGTGCCCTCAGTCCATGTCAGGCTCAATTTCTGGCGTGCATACTCGGGGCCTACAGACAATATTCCCCGTTGGGTCAATCTTGAACTTTCTTCTTTCAAGCGCATGCTTAGATTCCAACAGATACAGGGCACTGCTCGCCCCGGTGCTGCATCCTGGAACACGTCTTATCCGTTCAATCAAAGGTGCGAGCGAGTGCGAAGATCTGTTTCGGTGCCGTTGAACAAATGGGCAGTCAAATGTTCACAATCACGACTTACCTATCGACCGGACTCAAGTCGCGAGGTCGCATCGGAATCAACGCAGCGCTGAACGCGATGCCGATCGTGGATCCTTGGTTGAATGATTCCGATGACAAATCAGTCCTCATCCAGGGATTGAATGATATCGTTTCCGGCATGGCTCTGGGTGTGTCGTCTGAAATTCCGACGACTAGCCGGCTAATCGGAGATGCACAGTGCCAGGAATGCAGATGGTCACGCCGGACAACACCACGACGATCAGCGCTTACGGTCGGTTCCGCTTGCAGCCAGATACTTGCAGTTGCTGAAGCCTCCCCAGTCCAGAATTATGGACTGTCCAACATGAATTCCAACCACTGGGTGGGGTCCAATATGCTGGGTACGGTGGCTGGCAAAGCTGTTGTCGACGTCAACACCAAAGTCTTTGGAACGAACAACCTGTTTGTGGTCGACGCCTCGATTATGCCAACCCTTCCCTTGGGAAATCCCCACGGCACACTCATGTCCGTGGCGGAGCAAGCTGCCGCCAAGATTCTTGCGCTACCATAATACCAACACTAGCGTACAAATGCCTAATATATGAGTACTGTACAATCAGCGAGCAGCGACAGTGACTTCCGGGATCGCGGTACTTCCTATACGAGAGACTGCTGTCCCCAGCCCTGAAGTGCGCAGATGGAGCCCACGTGTCTTGTCGATAATCGTCTGATATACAGGCACAGCTGGTCGGAAAATCTCAATGATGTTCTAGGAGACGTTTAGAATGTCACAATGAGGACGATACTGAATTACGCACCTTGTCAAGGTCGATTTTGGCATCAGCGCTCATGCGCGACTCGCGAATCAAGTTCACAATCCACTTCTCGCCCTCATCAGCGGACAGGTTGAGGCGCTCAGACAGATCCCTACAGTTTCGACGGCAGGTCAGAAATCGGGCGCGATATAGGATGTGCTAACGTACCGGATGTCAACCTTCTGGTGAGTGCGACAGTAGGCCTCACTGATGAGGTACCGAGCGTTGTCGACAAACTCAGCACCAAACTGTTCGAGGAAAAAATCATCACTGAGCACCTGCTCAGCCAGACCCAGCTGCTTCTGAGCCGCCTCGAAGTCGAACTCCACGTATAGCTCTTTCAGGAACGCTGTGACGGGATCCTGGTACTGGTACTCCTCCATCTGTATCACCTTGACCACTTCTCGCACAGCATTGCGCACCCGGGGCGTCGCACCAGCTGGTGCAGCCCGAGAGATGATTGCCGCCGCAGCGACATATCTCAGAATCCAAGGGCAAGAGGTTTGGATTGTATTCAGATAGACAGGCGAAAGGAACGTCTCCAAAAGAAGAGTGCGGCCGGCGGGATGGTTGAAATAGACGAACAGAGACCAGTGAACAAGCCACGTCCGAGAGTGAAGTTGATGGAGAGCAGGTCCAGGAAGGGAGCGCGAATCGATGGATTCACGCAGCGTGTCGAGCTCCTGCAGAGCAACCTCCCACTTTCCCGAAAGAATGTCGGAAGCAAGTTTCCCCCACTGAGCAGATGTGTTGAGCTCGTTGTCGGTGGACAGGACCCGGAAGTGATACAAATAATCAGCCGCGCCACTGTAATTTCTGGGTTTCGCTCATAAGCCCTAGATAACATGATTCATCGCAGATCCCACTAACCCGTATGAGTACTGGAATTGACCGAACCGGTACAGAACCGTTATTTGATCGAGGGTGAGCTGGACAAGAAAGATCAGACTAAGAACGAGATGCGAGGGGAGAGCCACATACGTTATAGTTGTCTTTCAAGTATTGCAGATTTTGTTCCTTGTCCTGACGCAATGCCTGAACAACTTCGGGATTTTCGATAACATCTAAGACAGCTTGTGCTTCATCTTGAAGGCGTTCGTGTGTCAACATAGTGTTGCGTCGTTTTTCCTCGAACTCTGCGAAGTGTTTTAGGAAAGATCGAAGACCATGGATTCACTCATACCCGATGGGGGCTCCTCATCTGGATGTATTTGCGAGAAAAGATTAGCTGCGTAGTCCGCCATATTGGTGCCTTTCGCGAGCTCATATTGGGCGATCTGGATGTCCGCACTGGCAAACAAGTTGGTTTCGGCAAGATGAACCACTAGGGGAAGTGAGAGATGGCGGTCCAGGAAGGGCATGACCCTCTTCGTGAGATCGTACTCCGCCATGGTGGGGGTAGGGCAGAGGTATGGGTCACGACTGCTCAAAAATTGTACACAGCCACATCAAATCTTGTCAATGGACGCTCTCATTGCGAAGGCAGATGCAGCGGAGGTCCGCCAGCCCAGGCACAAAAAGCGGAAGACATCTCACGACGAGACACGAGATTCTATCAAAAAGCACTCACGAGTACCCAAGTCGCTTAACGACGACGCACCTCTCGACGTACCTAGGCACCGGCACATTCCCAATAAAAAGCTACGCAAAGAACTCACACACCAAGCCACGCAAGCTGCGCGCGCCAGGACACTTGTAGAAGATGCGGCGATGCTTCTTGCTGGCGACGCCGGCCTCCTTCAGGCGGAAAACGATCTTGAACGATCTTGGAGGGTTGGGCAGGCTGAAATCGAAACGGAGGCTGGTGCTGAGGCTTCCCGTGGTCGAAAAGAATGGTATCTAGACGGGGGACCGTACCGTTGCCGGTATAGTCGGAACGGAAGGTCGATCGGGCGGTAGTGACTCGTTCCCTCTGCTGAGACAATTTACAGGCATCTAGCGATTGCTGGAAGTTTGGGCCATGTGTCGACTTTTGACTGGCAAACCGGAACTATGCACTCTGAGCTGCAGCTCCAGGAGACCTGTCGGGATATAACGTGCGCTGAGCTGCTTGTTCCGGCATTCATCTAACCTATACATAGTTTTTTGCATGATCATTCTCATTTCGCAGTTGCCCAGAAGAAATACGTATTCATATACGATCGGGATGGAGTTGAACTGCATTGTTTAAAAGCGCACATAGAGCCGACGCGACTGGAGTTTCTACCTTTCCATTGGCTTCTTGCTAGTGTGGTGAGCGGTATGGCTCTTCACTGAAGATGTCTCTAACTATTTTTCAAAGGGAAACGCTGGTTATCTAAAGTATCAGGACACTTCAACCGGTCAACTGCTCGTTGAACAGCGGACCAAGTTTGGAGCGTGTCAGGTCATGACTCAAAATGCGCACAATGCTGTGATACATCTAGGACATCAGAACGGCCGGGTCACACTCTGGACCCCAAATATGCCGAATCCTGCAGTTCAAGTCCTTGCGCACTTGGGCCCTGTCGCGAGTGTTTCGATTGACCCGAGCTCCGGGGGGCGCTACATGGGGACAGCTGGTCGGGACGGAAATGTCAAAATTTGGGATTGTCGGAACTGGAGAGGCGCGGTCCGAGAATGGTCAGCTCGGGGTGGTTCTGCTGAACTGGAGTACAGCCAACGTGGAGCCCTTGCTGTTGCAACAGGAAGCACGGTCAATGTATGCTGTTCTTTCCTGACTGGTGATCAGAAGTAACCTCACAAAACAGGTTTACACTGCACCCACTATCCAGCAGCCGTTCCTAGGGCATGTCCAACCTCCCTTGTATCTCACCCATCTTATTCCCCAACGACCGCTGGTGGGGGTGCGCTTCGCACCATTCCAGGACGTGTTGACCATTGGTCACAACAGTGGTTTGACTAATCTCATCGTTCCTGGTGTAGGGGAACCAAACTTCGATTCGGGCGAAGCAAATCCATTCGAAAACCGCAAAGGACGTCAAGAGAAGGAAGTCAGAGCGCTGCTCGACAAGGTATGAATGCTTAATCCGACCTATGACTGCTTGTTAATCAGACGATGCAGTTACCGTCGGACATGATCTCTTTGGACCCGGAATTCATCGGGTCACTGGCATCAGAAACGAAGGACACACTAGTGTCCACGATGACTGGGGGGAATTCCACTCCATTTTCTCGCTTATCTCGCATAGACCGTCTGCGCGCTTCGGGTCATGCTGATGAAACAGACACGTTGGATCCTGATGACCTTGAGTTCAAGGGCACGCGAGAAGAGAAGGAACGCAAAAAAATGCGCGGCAAGGGCAAGAGTCTCAGCCGGTAAGTTTTTCCTGGATGCTTTGTTGTCAAAGCCATGAGCTGCTGGACAGATATCTTCGTAAACAACGCAAAAATGTCATCGATCCGACGGCAGTGGCCATCAGAGCAAAGCTGGACCGACAACGCACAGAAAAGAAGGTCATAGAAGATCCACAGTTTGTTCCTCGCAAACCATCGGCATTGGATAGATTCACATCCAACCAGTAGGCATGTCATTACATATGTACTATGTAGGAATGGTTATATGCGTGCTAGAGCCCCTATCCAAATTACTTGTGAGGTTGCTTCCACCAGAAGAAAAGCGATCCTCCGCCGGCGTTGCGAGCCAGAAGGCGTCGTCGCGTAAGGATCAGCAGATGCAGCTCGAGATGCAGCGTCGGGCAAGACTAGCGAGCGCAAGGAACGCATCTATGAGACGGTGAGGTGTGCCCTTACGTTGGCTGGTGAACACGCACTAGGAAAAAGGCATTCGCGAAGAAGAAATATATGAAAACCACAGTACCCAAAGTACGCCCTAGGTTCAGAAACCCAAACAAAATTATCAGGATCACACTATAATGCGCTCATATCAGACCAGACGTTTCGGGGATGCAGATTTGATCATACCCGACGAACTTATATCCTCCATACGCGATTATATCGATAGAGTGGCTTGGTCCCGAAACATTCAAGAAATAGCAACCCAATTGAACAAAGAGGAAGTCTAGTATGACCACCATGATGGCACGTGATGCCGATTCGCCAAGAACTTGAGGACGGAAATCATCCTGTATCCCTGAATGAAGTGCGCATAGTAGAATATATGTAACCAGCGCCATCACTAAAAGTGAAAGAGAGTCAACAAGAATGCAACACTCGCGAAGGGAGACGCACGGGGAATGTAGAGATCGGGGCTATTAACATCCTCGCGCGGCGGAAGGAATTCAGTACTACCAGCATCGGTCCGAAAAGACTTGCGACCCCATTGCTTTTGAATCCACGGAAAGAGAAGGATACGAAGTTTGTGTATCACGTAGGAATTCGAGACGTTGAAATGAGGTTTCACACGTGCACTGGGAAAGACGCCACCCCACTTGAATAAGAGTCAGCACACTGGAAAATAAAGGAGCTGGGAAGAAGATCACAGTGCGTTGCACGTATTCCTGCCCAGCAGCTACCGCACTTTGTCCTAATTGCATCCCAAATTGTGCGGTGGCGTCATTCATCCCCCAAGGCCCTAACTGCGCAGGGATCATCGGAGGTGGTGGTGGTTGTTGGCCGGAGGGAACAGGCGGCTGGTGTTGTTGCTGATGTTGGAATGGGGATGTATATGCGGGAACATGGTGGGCGTAAGCTGGCTGGTTGAGAGTTGGAGCGGGCTGAGGCGAAGATGAAAAACGTTGATATCCTTGGGGAGAGCCGGGGGTTGATGGAGGCTCAGGGATATACGCTGGATGTGTTGGGACGGGATGGCGTAGTGGAGGCGGAGAAGACATTCGAGGAAGGTGAAGGGAACTAGTGTAACGTGGTCAAAACTCAGAATCTGAGCAGTGTGTCACACGAGGTGTGACACGTCGATTGGTTCGGGGTGTACAGAAAAATACAATGGATTCATCTAATCAAACAACCGTGTCGTACTTAGGTGTGATCTAATCTATGTCCATCTCCGAAGGACCAGGGGCCTCACTGTCTGGCTTGGGAGTAGGTTCGGGCTCGTTCTTGGGAGTCTCGGTGCCGGATGTTCCGCCAGGGATTCTAGGCTTCAGCTTGGTCATTATCGGCGTCGCAAAGTAGATGACCTCGTCGCGTTTCTTGCCGATGTCGGCGCTCTTGAGAATGGGCTCGACGTTTTTCGGGGCCTCAGCCTGGCGAACGATCTGATCCTCAAGCCATTTCTGGACAGTGGCAACTTTCTCAACGACGCTGTCCTTGTCCTTCTGCTCGATGTGAGAGTACTTCTCATCACCCGAGGTAGCTTGTGACATATATGTGTTCAGGGTCTCTCGGAGCTGAGCAATCGCGCTCTGACGAGTCTCGGCCTCCCGGAATCGGAAGGTGATTGGATCCCCGAGCGCTTTGAGGGCGTCCAAACGAGAGACGTATGCCGATTTGGAGGCATCTTCACCCTCTTCGGTGTACAGCCAGTCTTCAGCCTCCTGCAGAGCTACGAGGAGCTTGGCCTTCTCGTCAGCCTTGACGTACGGGGCAAACCGTTCGTCTAGTTTGCCCCTAGTGTCGTAGACATATTCTTCGAGTGCATTTTTACGGTCCTTTTGAGAGGTCAGCACAGTTTTGGCTCGATAGAAACACGGCAGACCTCAGTATCGGTTACGAGTTTGTCTGCGGCGTGCATCGAATTTTCCTGCTCACGAAGACTCTGCACAACGGCAGGGTCCAACGAAGCGGAGGCTGTGAAGAATGCAATCTCTTTCTTCTTGACCCGTTTCTTCTTGGGCTGAGGTGGAGTGGCGCCCTCGGTAGCAGGGTCAATGTCCATGGCAACAGGCTCGTCTCTCTCTTCAACTTCCTCGATGTAGGCCCCTTCGAAAGACACAATTCCATGCTGGTTCAGCCGCGTCTTCACACGAACACAGGTCGAGTCGCCCTTGGGATCAGCCGGCACCTCCTTCACTGTGATACGACTGATGAATGGGTTGATTGTCCCGGGTAAGCCAGCTGGGTCGGCATACACGGCCTCGAGGTCGAAGGTGTCTTTCCGGTAGAAAGACAGAACCTTGGTAGAAGGCATTTTGTCACCATTGTTGAATACGACGAGTTCTGTGTCCTCGTCTGGATCGGAGGGCGACGACGTCCATTGAACCTTGATTGGATAGTGGGCCACATCCTGCATGTGGAAATCGCGAACGCGGAAGATGGGAGATAGCATAGCACACGCGAAAGTCGCCCCACGGGCAATAGCTTCGTCCTGATTGAGCGTCGTCGACAGGACTTTCCCGGGGAATACCTCCTGGATCCGAGCACGGACAGCCGGGACACGGGTCGAACCACCGACAAGCTCGATCGCGTCAATTTGATCCAAAGTCAACCCAGAGTCGGCCAAGACGCGCTGGAGCGGAGCTGTGATCCGGGCGAGAACGGGAGCAACGAGCTCCTCGAGCGCTTCTCTTGTAAGCTTGGACGAAGCATCGATGTCGTTCATGATTGACTCCACATTGAGTGGCGACTCTGCGTTCGCTGAAAGCACTTTCTTGAGCTTCTCACAAGCAGCAGCAAGTCGGAAGGTCGCCTTTGGGTTCGAAAGCACATCGATCTTGTACTTGGTCTTGAACTCCTCGGAGAAGTGCCGGACCAAGGCGAAGTCGATGTCACGACCACCAAGGTTGTGATCATATGCAGAGCTTTTGACCACAAGTTGACCCTTAGAGAACCCTACGACGGATGCCGACAAACTGGAGTGACCAACATCGACAAAGATGACATGCCGGGGGGCATCTTCCTCAGGCAGGTCGGATTTCGTGATTCCATAGCCCAATGCCACGGCGGTGGTATCGTTGATCAAACGCAGGGGGTTGAGACCCGCAATCGCAGCTGCGTCGAGCAGAGCACGTCGCTGAATGTCCGCGAACCATCCCGGGACTGCGATGACCACGTCCGTTACTCCAGTCTTGAGCTCATTGGCAGCGATATCACGCAACTTGCCGAGATACATGCCAACGAGTTGAGTAGCAGAGAAGCTTTGACGCTCGCCGACGTAGTTGACCTATAGCGTCCATGTGAACATCGTCGACAGCATGCGAGCAAATGAGACACCGCGCACCTGAACGCCCACAGTCCCCTCGACATCAACAAGAGCAGCATTCAGGTACTTTTTCTCGACGTTCTGGATTTCGGAGTCATTGAGAGTGCGACCGATCAATCGCTTCAGGGAACCGATGGTATTTTTGAAATTGGAGGTTTCTTGTGTCTTTGCTGATTCTCCGATCGACCTCTGCTTGGGACCAAAGGCAACTAGTGAACTGAAATACGGGCGGTTGAACTGAGGCTGATGAGCAGAAAGAGACAGCACCCACGGAGTTGCGCGGTTGGAGACTTCATTTGTGATAATGTCGATACCCCGGTGTCTCGCGACACCGATCTGGTCGAAGCTGAGTGGGAGGAGATGGAGTAAGGCCATGCACTCACTTTACTGTGTAGCGATCCAAAATCGATTCCGACGACAGCCATGAGGGAGAAGGAAAAATGGTGCAGTTGTGGGTGGCGATGCTCGAAAAAATACTGTGCGAGACCTATATACTAAATCGGGAATGATCTTGAACCTTCGAGGGCCTTCGACAGGGTTCCCTTGACACAAAGACCACACCAAAATGTGGGGAGAGCATCAAAAAAGGTATTAGATACAACAAATGTCTACGAGAGGTAATGAAAAGGCTTCAAACTATGTGCCGTCGGTATTGGGCTGAGTAAATAATCGGTCAGTTTAGATGAGATGAGAAACCACAAGTACGGACCTGATACCATGGCATGGTCACGCTCATAAGGCTCGAGAGTGACTTGCTCGATGGGCTTGAACTGACCCTCTTTGAGCTTTTGGACTTCAGACGCGAAGACCACGTCTGCCGGTGCGACTGAGTCGATACAACTTGCTTTGATGGAAATCACCACGTGACCACCATCTCGCAGGAAACTCCTCGCATTGTGCATAACAATACGTGCCTGGTCAGGTTGGGCAACATCTGCAAAGATCACATCCACAGTGGAAATGAGCATGCGATATTTGTTCGGTAGGCGAGCATCCTCGACGATAGCTGCCGAGAGATTAGATTAATCAACGGGTGGAAGCGCTCAAGATGCCAACGCACGAATGACATTAGTCCGCTTTTTGGCCATGTTGATCAAGTCACGGCCTGAGCGCGCGGAGAATTCGACTGCATAGACAACTCCCTCCTAGTAGGATGGTAGAAACTAATCAGCAAAGCACGGAAAGAGCCGCGAGGCGGAGGGAACCTACCGGTCCAACAATGTCTGCAACATGACTGACACTGGTCCCGCTCGCTGCACCCAGATATAGCACCTTCTTTCCGGGTTGAATGAAGATGTGTTCCAGCCCACCGAGAACGCCGGCGGCGAGCTTGCTTCGGAAGGGATTCCAGACCCGATATTCGATTTTTGTGCCTTCAACGCCGCCGTCAATGGATATGCGTTTTTCGCCGTACACCGACTCTCCCGGAACTAGGTTCTTGGTGACCAACATGTGCTCCTTGCCTTTGGCAATAAAGATTCCAGGATGACGATGAGGCTCAAGCACGGTATTAGACCCGCCCTTCGCCCCACCCCGGCCTCCACCTCGACCTCCACCGCGACCACCCCGGCCTCCAGCTCCGCGACCACCTCCAAATCCACCGCGACCACCTCGAGCCGTGACGCCGCCTCCACGTACACCTCCGCCTTTGAAAAAACATTCAATGATGATCAGAGTTAAGATGGGCATGGCACTGACCTCGTCCACCACCCCGGAACCCACCTGGTCCTCCACGACCGCCTCTTCCTCCCCGATCACCTCCTCCGCCACGTCCTCGTCCCCCGCCGCGTGAAAAACCGCCACGTCCACCAGATTCACCTTTAGAACGGATGAGAGAACATAATGCGAAACGACAAGTACAGACCAAATGCCATGTCTGAGAGATGAAGTCAAAACGAGGGCTGATTTTTTCATCGGCCCAATCACTTACAAATAGGATCAATCACCGCATCATCGACAGGCACTCCGGAAACTCGGTGCTGCGCTATCGCTCCTTGCCAGCTATCATGTCCCAAACACCTATGATATCGATTCCTCGGAAGACCACGGAAGAGGTCGACTGGACGACTCCGATCCGAAACCTAATAGCCCAGTCTTACGGCGAGAATCCAGACAGCTACGCTGCAGAGTGCGCCTCCCTCCAACGTTGCCGCCAGGATGCCGTTCGCGGGGCTGGTAGTGACTTGACAGCCAAAGATCTACTTTACAAGTACTTCGGTCAGCTCGAGCTTCTGGAACTACGTTTCTCCGAGATCCGCGTCAGCTTTCCCTGGCACGACGCGTTCACTCTCAAGCTCACCACGCAGACATCGATCGCATACGAGAAGGCCTCGATCCTTTTTCAAATCGCCTCAACACACTCCTCTATTGCTATTTCCCAGAACCGGTCCTCCCCTGAAGGTCTTAAGCGCGCATTCTACTACTTCCGTACTTGCGCGGGAATGCTGACGTACATCACGGAGAACTTCCTTCACGCGCCATCGAAGGATCTGAGCAAGGAGGTCGTCAAGTTTCTCGTGAGCCTCATTATCGCGCAGGCGACTGAGGTGTTCTGGGAGAAATGTGTAGAAGAGAAGAAAGGGAGTGGGCTCATATCGAAGATCGCGTCTCAAGCTGCAAACATGTACAATGTGCTCTGCGAAGAAGTGAAGGAGTTTTCAGGGCAGAATATCTTGGATAGGAATTGGGTCACCCTGATACAGGTATGAGCCGGCAGTAAATCTCCCCGAGTAGTCCCTCATTCCACGCGAACAGATCAAGTCCAAATACATGACGTCCGAAGCACAGTACCACCGTTCTCTGGCAGACACGGACGCTGGCTTATATGGAGATGCGCTTGCGCGCCTTACTCTCGCCGAAACGCATGCCAAGGAGGCTTATCGCTTATGCTCGTCATTCAACCCGATTCCAGCCAGTTCTACCACACCCAACTCGAGCACTTTCCCATCAGACGCCGGCTCGAGTATGCTCGCTCTGGCAAAAGCTCATCTGGCGGTTGTCTCTGACCGACGTGCAACTGCATACCGAGAGAACGACCTCATTTACAACGCAGTGGTACCCTCGCTGGACAGCCTTCCATCTATAGAGACCAAAGCGATGATGACAATCGCAACTCCGATTCCGATCCAAGAAGTTTATGGCAATCCTGATGTCCAGAAGACCATCGGTCAGGATTTCTTCTCTCGGCTTGTCCCTCTCAGCGTGCACGAAAGTGCATCCGTCTATTCAGAGGAGAAGGCGAAACTCGTGCGGGCCGAAACCGAGCGATGCGAAACAGCTAACGTTGAAGCGCGCAGCTTCGTTGACGGCTTGGGTGTGGTTACCGGGCTGGAACGGTTTCGTGCGATGCTTCGTGAGTCTGGGTCTGGTGGGCCGCCGGCCGAGATCTCGCGCTGGGCAACGGATCTCGCCTCTCTGGAGGCTCGAGAAAGTGTGCCGTCGTTGTTCGCCCAGTTGGAGAAGCTGAAGCAAGCTCTGCAACATGAATTAGATCCGGCAGGGGGGATTTCACTCGAGCTCGATTCGGAGAGCCGTGAATGCGAGATGATGCGCGTTCGGTTCGAGCATCGATGGACGCAAGCGCCGAGCGCCGGTCTCACTAAATCCTTGCGCCAGGATTTGAAGGCCCATCTAGCTGCGATGGATGAGGCTGCCAAGAGCGATGCCCAAGTCCAAGCTATCTGGCAGGCTATCCAATCGGATATTGCTCTGCTGGTGTCCGGTCGCTTCGAAGCTGTGTTCGCTGAACCGCTTACGGAACAGATGAGCTTGCTGGATCTTGGGGAAGAGGCGGACAGACAGGAGCGGCAGGACAAGGACAAGCTCGCTAGTCTCATCCAGGACGCCGAGGAACATCTGTCCACACTCAAGAAGATCGAGAGAGAGAGAACAGAAGTTTTGAAAGATCTGAAAGATAAGGTGGGCGTCCCATTGTCTGCTTTCACCCAACAAGTAATGATCTCCGGAATCAGATTCAGGCGGATGATGTGTCCCATCTCCTCCTTCTCAATCGCAGAAACACTGGTGTCGAGCCCTCGTTGTTTGCTGCCGAACTGGAGAAGTTCCGACCGTATCAGCAGCGGCTTGCTGCGACTATTCACCATCAAGATGCAATGCTCCAAGAACTGGATCGTTCTTGGAGGTTATTAAATGACTCCATTTTGACCACTGGTCCCTTCCGCAAATGGGAAAACCGGGAAAGGAGAAAGACAGAACTTCTTCAACGGTTTGGCAGTGCAAAAGACCGTTATAATGAAGTGCGCGACGGGCTAGGGTATGCATTCTTCTACTCCGCTTTGCATCTTGTCATTGCCTTCCAGGAAAGGTCTTCAGTTCTATTCAGAGTTGACAGAACTCACGGCCAAGCTTCGACGCAACGTGAAAGCATTTGTATCAGGGCGAAATGAAGAGCGGCAACAGCTAGTGAGTCAGCTAGCCCCTAAACAGTCATCCTATGTGTCATGGCAATCGCCGCCTCCACCTCCCCCATTGCTACCCACAACATACGTGCCACCACCATTGCCACCACCACCTGCCTCAACTTTCTATTCTTCTCTTCCTCCTCCCCCACCACCCCATGACCCTTATGCAAATATTGCAACACTTTCCAACACAAATGAGAAATACAATACTCCTCTACCACCACCTGCCCCACCCTCTCAGCCTGGCTATAGCCAGTACCACAGATACTAGATCCTCTCAGTGTTTACTTGTGAACCAAGATTAGCAAATGATTTTAGGCTTGCTTATCAATGAGTCCACTAAACACCTTGGTTGAAGGTTGCTGGATGAACTTGGCCTGTTGACTATTGTGTCAGAAAGACTAAGTTAACTATGGTGCATGTGACTTAGTCACCACCAGAAGGAGTATATACAGATTGAGTGTGAATGTGAAAGCTGTTGATGGCAGTTTCACACTCTGATGGTAAATCACACCCCGCCACTGCAAGCGGGAAGCTGCCGCCAATGATCAAAACACCCACGTGATAGTAAGAAAGACCGCCACCCCGTGCTGATGATAGGTGCCACCGTTACCCATACAGGGGATCAAGCGCTTCTTCGCACATTTGCATTGTGTCAGAAAGAACGGCTGCTCCGTTCGTGCTGAAACTTTGGGTAGATAATCTACACATTTAATTCGCCCCATGTTTCAAGTATCATATCTTAGAATGATGTCCTTACCCTACAATATCTACAGCCACACGTTGAAGTTAACAGAAAATACCGGACTCATGCACGCAGTGGATCTGACTATTGGCAGGTAATCTTACTCCATATCTTCATGTTTGGGTCTCAAGGCTGAACATTGGACACCAATACACCCAATCATAATTTAAATATCATTCAAGTCCACATGATGATTTATTTCTAAACATGCTTTGTCTTCTTGGACACAGACCCGCCGATGTGCATTCTAGGCTCATGTCTTTTATCGAAAATTTAATCCAGCGACCCTCAAGGATAGCAGACAATATCGCGTGTTAATTTAATCCAGATTATCAACATAGTGCGCAGTGCATCAATACGAGGTGGTACACTTTGCCTCACCCACCTCCTGCTTATAATTGTCCAAAATCAGTTTAACATGTAGCCCTGGGAAGCTGAGCATAGTGAAAAGGAGAGATCTCGTTGGTCACACATACTTATATTGCAGAGAGTGTAAGTAAGTAGTATGTACATCCCTGTCCTGACTCAATCTTAGACTGTCATCAACTTGATCGCCGTTGATTGATCAGACACATCACAAAGATTGCGGCGCATCAAATGGGATTTGGAAGGCACAGCAGTGGGAAAGATGTCCATCAGAGTGTGAATTGCACATCAGAGTGTGATTTTGGTATTCACATTCACACACTTTTTGTCATTCCTCCCACCAGAAGTGTATAGCACCATGGGCACATGCACTTTTTATCATTTTCTTATTCCTCTAGCCAATTGTCTCCTCTTCTGTGACAATGAAATGCTGAGGGCATGCCTGTCATAATTGCCTTGCTTGACAAGGCTTCTCCAGCCTCATAATTTGCATCAAAATGTTGCTGGCTCCTTCCGCATGTTACTTACCAATCTGACCCGTACCTTTTTGCCGCTGTTGTAGTGCATTTCTGTTGCCTCTACTTGTTTCCACCTTGCAAGCACTTGACCACTATCAGCTTTATCACCTCAATTTTTTTTTCCAATAGTTCTCTGCTTGGACACCGTCATGCCCCTTGTCATTCAGTCAGACGGTCTTAGCGTTCCTGTTCTCCTGTGTGCCACTAAGGCTCACTGATATGGCAGATTTGACAACTTTACAACGGCACGCTTTCTATTTGCATTGAGTTTTCCTTCTCAGTTGCATTTACTTCCAACTCTGTTCTTGACATCCACGTCCACCATTGGCGTGTTGCCTCATTCAACTTCTCCAGGTTATCGTCTTCAGCCAGAAGAGCTGGATTGTGGCTCTGCCAGAAGGTCTTGTCTTCGAAATCGCGTAGCAGTCGGATCATCTCCCTGCCCAAAATTCTTGATAATGCCACATACAGGTTGAACAAGCTTAGCCCGCCTGACGGAGGTGTGGCTATGTCAACAATGACGTGCTTTATTGTCTAGCCTTGAGAGCAGTAGTCTGTGAATGTGGATGCGCCTGTGATCGGATACTGTTGGCATCGGAATGTCTTGGTTATGGTGGCCCCGCCTGTCAGAACAGTCTTGACATGGTAAGCTGTCTTCGCTGGCTCGATTGGCAATACACCTGATGCTAGGTCTTGCAGTTGTCCCGCTGAAATGCTGAGGGCGCGCTCACAGGTGAATCTACTGTGAAGTAAACCCAAATATAAACACGTTCACACTCCTCTTAATCAGCTTCTCAGTGTGTAAAAGATGCGAGGGCTTTGGGATGGACAGAGCACCAGTATCACAACTCTCAATTGACGCAGATCCAATAGTCGCGGAAGACGAAGTCGACGACAAGAATTTATATATAGCAAACAGTGGTGTCTCAACCAATATCTTCTATACAACCAAAACCAACAATATCACAAGTCAGAGCTTAATACAAAGTATTAAGATCCCTTGTAGCAATAGCGTCCAGATGGCGATGCAAAGCCCAAATATCGAGTCGACGCACTGCCAACTGATACAACCAAAGTACTGAGTCGACGCACTGCCAACTAGTAAAACCAAAATGCCGCGTCGACGCACTGCCAACTAACAGCCAATATCCAATGTCCAAAACCCGAGCACAACTTGTCAACGCACTGCCAAGCAAGAAGTGTGGAACCAAAGTTCTCAAGTCGACGCACTGCCAACTGACCAAAACAACCCGAGCACAACTAGTCGACGCACTGCCAAACTAGAGGTGTGGAAACAATCTCAACAAAGCCCAAAGGCGATGACACTAAGTGCTGTTGAGCACTGGGGAGAGCGTCTAGCAGCTCACCTGTGTGAGTGAGAGCTTAGTGTGGGCACTATGCAGGAGTAGTCAAGAGACTTTTATTAAAGGGTAATAGAGCCCTCCTTATATATGATACAGGGGGCTGTTTGTGTCTATTTGGTACAAGTTGATATGACTCTAGATGACACGTGATGGAGTTATAGATGTGTATCACGACATCCATCTTGACAGATGATATTTGATCGACACTCCCCCACGCTGAAAACCACGGGATAGTGTTTGAAAGCGAAATCTTCATTGGCCATTCCTTCAGAACGAGTTGAACTCAAGTCCTAGTTGAGACCTGAACTTCTCGAACTTGACGCGTCCTAGGTTCTTGGTGAACATATCTACAGGATTCTCACTGCCCGGAATAAAGAACAGTTCAACCTCTTCTTCCTCGACTCGCTCACGGATGTAGTGATAGTGGATGTCTATGTGTTTCATCCTGCAGTCTTGGTAGGCATTGCTGCCACTGAAAAGTGCACCCTGATTGTCACCGCAAATGGGTACTGGGATGGAGAGCTTGAACTGGAGTTCCGAAAGGACGCTCTTCAGCCACATCACCTGGCGACTACAATCTGAAATCGCCATGTACTCTGCTTCGGTCAAAGACTGCGCGACAGTGCACTGAAGTCTAGACTGCCAGTGTCAGGGGAATCCCCGTTTCGGACCGCTCTGCCTTCGATCAGGCATGTGATTGCGCTCGCGTGACCTGTCAGCTGTCACGCGCCGCGGCCCGGACTGCCGCGCCGAGCGCTTCTCCTTGATGGGCACATGGCCAGGTGCCCCATTGTTCCTATTGTCCCCGCTCCCATTGTTCTGTCATGGCCGTTGTACTTATTGTCCCCATTGTTCTTTGTTTGTTGCTGCGTGCTCCATTGTTCTTGTATCATATAAATAGTGGCGCCTGGCAAGGAGAATCCCCAACACGGTTTCTCTTTGGATTCTCCCTTGCCAGGTATGCCGGTCTTGTACCTAGCTACCACTATTAATCACCTTTGGATTCTCCCTTGCCAGAACTCTGAGATCGGGTCTCGAGGTTGCCCTTACAGCAGAAACCGTGTTCCTAGGGATAACCGGACAAGATTGCGAGGTTCGACGCTGACGCCAGTGGAGAAGAGTCGACGAGCGACCAAGACCACCACTCCCTCACCTCCTATCTTGCCCCCTCCTCCCCTCCACGAGCAGACCCGATGAGCATGGATGACAACGAACAGCAGCGGCTGTCTGCTCTGGAGACCAGCATACAGAACATCAAGGCCGTACTCACCCGCCTCATCTCTCAACAACAACAACCCCCTGCCCCTGCCCCTGCTCCAGCTCCGGCAGCGGGTCCAGGTGTTTCTACTGGCGCCAGCCCTGCGCGCCCCCTTATCCGTCCGAATCCTCCCTTCTCCTTCGATGGGGATCGCACCCTGGGCAAGAGCTTCTTGCATTCAGTGAAGCAGTACTGGCGTCTGCTTCCTGAGGCGTTCTTCGTGAATGGGGCAGTCTCGGAAGAAAAGGTAGTCCGCTTCGCCCTGTCCTACATGTCCAAGGACTCCACGGCCTCCTGGTCCGAGCGCATGTCCGAGCGCACCCCATTCCCGTTCCCTACTTGGGCTCTCTTCGTCACCGAGTTCAAGCTTCGATTCGTCGAGGAGAACGAGCAAGACCACGCCCTGGCGCGACTAGAGACCCATCTGTACTATATGGGCTCCCGTGATGTGTTCAAGTACACGGACGAATACGACGACCTCCTTGATCTCACCGGCTATACCGACGATCTGGTCAAGGTGACCAAATATAGGACGGGCCTGGATCCAAAGATCAACCAGGCTATCACCACCTCTGGCAACCCTCCCAGGCTTACTGACTACGCCGAGTGGCGTGTCCGTGCGTTCCGGCAGTACAATGCGGAACAAGCTGCCAAGGCGTCTCGAGGCCACGTCCCTCCCCCCCGAGCGCCTCCTATCGTCCCTCGTCCTCGTGCCCCGGTGCTCCCTGCTGTAGCGCCGGCAATTGCTGCTCGCCCGGCGCCGGCTCCTGTTGCCCACCCCATCCCCATGGAGTTGGATCGGACTCGGCTCCGCGGTGACGTTCGCTGCACATGCTTCCGCTGCGGCAGTCCGGGCCATCTTGCCCGTGACTGCCCCACCCCAGCTGACATACGTCACGCTGATGTCCTTGATGAGGTCATCAATCAGCTGGGGAGTGATCTGCTTTCCGAGTTGGTTGCTCGGGTCGCGACCACTGCAGCCGTTGCGGATCATGCGTCCAACGTCGCAGCCGAGGAGGAGCAGGGTTTTCTCCCCAGCGACGAGTGAGTAGTACGCCCTCGTTCGCTTCACGTAATCGTTTCTCCTGTTTGTATGATGAATCCAATTCCCTCCACTCTGCAACAGTCGAA